TATATTTCAGCTGAAAAGAGAGTATACATATCTATTCCTTTTTTTCTTTATTTCTCTTCTTATTTCCTGTCCTGAACTTTCTTTTATTCTTTTCACTCTGGATTCACTCTGATTGGCCGTCTGTTAACACATAATCCCAGTGAGGATAGACTAGCTCACAAACTCAACTTGTTTGCTTACCTGTTTTCACACAGTAAATAAGGGAAATTCAGTCATAGTGCAGTATTAATTTCACCACACCAGCTAAGCTGTGACCCTTGGGGGCTTCAGTCCCTGCCATTTCAGGGCTCCCAGTCGCGCCCTAGGTGTAGGGTCCCAGTGCCTAGACCAAGACTCACCCGCACTTGGAGGGGACGCCAGAGCTGGTGTAACATTGAGCTGGCCATTCACAATTTACCTCTGGGTCAGCTCCAGTGGTGGACTTCTCCTGCCCAAGCGGATACCTCATAGGAGAGACCTTTGAGGCCATGGCTGAGCTCCTTCACGCACATCTCTTGCAGCCTATTATTGGGGCTTTTCACTTGCTGAGTGTCCCACTGATCTGAGTTTGCTATATGCCCATTGGATGACATGCACTGGTACTCCAGCTGGCTGACAGATGATTCTACTTTCCCTCAGATGATTCTACTTTCTATTAAGAATGACTGACCTTGCTATCACTGTTCTTTTAACTCAATCAGTACTCAGTAGCTTAAGATAGAAATGTTATTTCTTAATCTCTTTCTGAAGGGACCTCTTGGGAGTTATGCTGATCACTAGCCTGTCCATATGCCTTGTTTTACCCTTAAAAAATAGGTGACTTTTCATGATATTTACTAATGTTCAAAGCCTGTTTTTTCCCATTGTGTTTCTATATCAAATGGCATTGCAAATAGTTGTGTGAAACTTTGCACTTTAAATATAAAGAATGACAAACAGTATTAATTTCTCTTTCTTTATTGGTCTTTTTCTATCTTCATATAATTCAGAAACCTCTAAATTAGAGATTTATTGATGTATTCTACAAAGCAAACTAAATGAGAAGTAGAATTAATACTTGCAATAAACATGTAGACGAGTGTACTACTGAAAAAAAAAAAAAAAATTAGGGTTGCTGAACCCTTTCCATGAAATTATTTAGAGCAATCAATTAAAATCCCTTAATCCACACGTTTAAATGTCACTGATATGTCACAGAGGATCAGTATTGTTTGTACAATGCTATTACTAATATTATGTGGAAGATTGCTCTAGGGGGTTAAAACCTGGCTTCCATGTGATTTTTGTGCATTTATGTCATGGATTTAGGAATCTTTGCCAGTGAAGAAGAAAGCAGTTGTGATTTCCCTTGACAGAAAAGGTGACTTATTTGAGTAATTACAAGCTGTCTTTATAGTTTGAGTCCTCCATTAGTTTCTTTCAAGATGGTGTTTTAATTTGTCCATCTGTTTAGTGGTATTATGACAATAATGCAAATGCTGTTGCTGCACAAGGGTCCAGCATGTTTCTCCTTATTCTGTTCTAATGATATACCATAAAGCATTGACTGATACATTAGATGTTCAAGACCAGATCTGATATCAGACCATTTGGAGATAGTCCTTCAATGTGCAAAATCAGGCCATCTCAATCCAAAGAGGTTTGCTGTAACTGAAAAGAACATGATTTGTAGTGTGATTGGTTACATTTAACCATAGTTAATATCCCGCTGTAAGGTTTGTGAATTATTATGCATCCAAGACATTGGAATGTTTTTACAGATTTTTCTAATGTATAAAAAAATACATTTTATTTTTCTTATATATATTTTCTATAAAGAGAATATAAGAGTTATTCTTTTCTTCAATATTTATGTTGGTTAAAGATGGTTTTTAAAAATATGGAAAAGAGTGCCTTGATATGTACCTTTTTTGCATCTTTACTTCTGATATTCACTACTCTCTAGGCATAGGAACACAAACATTTTTGTGGATGACTGAAGTGTACTAAAAAAAATCCTTCCTGTGTCATGGCTGCCTAAAATGCATCCAAACATTCAGTATCTCCTCCCTCTGCATGCAGATACTGAATTTTCCTTATAGAGATTCATTGATTCAATTCATCTCTATGAGGAGATACTGATTGGCCAGGGCTGATTGAACCATGCTGGCTCTGCCCCTGATCTGCCTCTTTGTCAGTCTCAGCCAACTGTATGGGGAAGCATTGTGATTGGATCAGGCTACCACTTCTGCTGATGTCAGCAGGCAGTGGGCAGGTCTAAAGGAAACCGTGACAATGCAAGCAGCTCCAGACTTGAAAACAAGTAAGATTTCTATATTTAGGGAGGCATGAGGGGCCAGGGTGACTAGATGGTGGTTTAAACCCAATAGGGTCAGAAATGCATGTTTGTGTTCCTGACCCTATAGTGCTCCTGTAATGGAAAAATAGTTGGAGTAAATTTACATACTCACTCACCAGGGTTTGATTACTTCACAATATCAGAAACTTAACTATAAACTGCTCACAAATTGGTTTAGGACCCCAGTATGGTAAATCATTTAATTTATGATTGGGCTTCTAGTGTGTGTTGGAGATAGGGACGTTCACAGCTGTGGCATTGAAAAGCACTTTTGAAAAATGTTCAAAGATGTGGACCGCATGGTTAGACTAATTATCACACAGGTCTGCAAATGCTGGTATTTGTTCGTCCCCAAGCATGTCTAAGTCTGGAGTTGCCCTTGCCCCCTCACATGTGTAACACTACCGTCCCAAACATAGTACTCACAATGTTTTTTATTAAAGGGAAAATAGAAATGAAGGAAACCAGTACAGTAATTAATTATTTATTCATTTATTTTTCTTTCTGCTCTCCCATCCCTCTTTGATATACTTGAGGTTGGATATCTTCTTCACACTCACCTTTGGGATTCAGTTGATGTACTTTTGAAATTGAGTTCAGAGATGTTTATTTTTGGATTTTTAGGCCCACGGTGATTGATATTTACAGTCTGATACTCCTCCTCAGCCAATGTCAGAGAGATTTAGGAACTTAATGCACATGCATGACTATTGCTGGACGTCCTCATGCAAAGTCTCAAACTCTGTGAAACTACAGAAAGCGCCTCTGGTAGACAGACATTAGAGGCAGTCTTAACCTTGCAATGTAAACATTGCAGGTTCTCTAAAAGTGCATTGTTGTACATGACAGGGTTATGGGAACAGGGTATCTTGGTGCCTATGGTGTCCCTATAATATACGAGTGGAGTAATTTCTAATTCTGTCAATTAGGTTGCTAGGGCTATCAATTTAATTATTTGTTATATAAAGGTAAATAATATATAGACACAATTTCCAGTTTTATAAATGAAAGGTTATTTAAAAAAAAAAATCAAAAACATAAGATTCTTAGCTATGGTAAATTGTCTTTTATAGCTATTTAGCAGATATATTAGTGTTCTTGTATCATCTAGTGTATTGGAGCATGGAAATTACAGAATGCAGTCACTGTAATGATAAATTAAATTAATGGCTTTGGGGTAAATTGCTTTACATCAAGACAATAAAGTGTATACTGGCCTATACAATATATGAGTTTTAAAACTGCTTTGACCATAAAGAAGTATTGAATCAGACCTGGAAATATATTACTGACTAATCCAATATGTTAAATAGACACTATACGCACCAAAACAATGTTTTCTAATTGGAGTGGATTTGGCTAGTAGATCATTTAGTCTTACTGCTCGATGCTTAATTTAGAATTTAGTTTATTGCACTCTGTTGATAGCCTGCTAGAGACTAAATGAGTCTATTGTGTGTGATTAAAAATCAATTAACAGAGCAAGAAATAAACTCTTCTAAAGTAAACACACTGTGCTGCCTTTGTCAAGCCTATTCGATGAAACATTTTGAGTATGGTATGTATGTATGGTGAAATAAAGTTCTCCATTTGCATATTACCTGTTGTTGTTGCCCCATTTTTACTAATTTTGCATACCCACTCTTTTTGACATCTACTTAAAATATTGTTATGAGAGTATTGTTCTTTTCTGATGTACATGTGCTATTATCTTACTATGCAATCCACTGTGTTTCAAAAATGTTATTAATTTTATTAATAAGCATGCAAAAACATTTGATCAGAGATCATTGTAGGCCCTGGTAGAGCACCATATTTTAGACCAAATTTTTCTATTTGTTTATAATTTGCTGTCTATTGTATCTCAAATTATTGGAGTTCTGCATGCATTGTGTGTACACACAGGGGCGTCATAAAATACATTTTCTAATCAGACAGGCTCACACTCACCAGAGACAATATTTATTTTACTTCTATCAGTCTGCAGTTTTTACAACTAGTGTATAGTTTGTTGCCCGATGTATTATTATCAGTCTGCAGTTTTTACAATTAGTGTATAGTTTGTTGCCCGATGTATATTATTAATTTGTTTAACTATTAATCTAACGTTAATCACAAAAAGAATAAAAAACCTTTTGTATTCATTTTCTCAATTTTTACAGACAGTGAATGACACTTACTCCAGAAAACAGTAATAGCGCTAAAATTCTCAGAACTTATTCTGTAGGTAGAGAACGCATTAGAACACTTTTTGTAGTTTATTAACCCCTTAAGGACCAAAGACGTATCAGGTAAATCCAACAAAAAACGTCCTTAAGGACTGCAGACGGACCTGATACGTCCAAGGGGAATTAAATGTTTATATTATGTTATGGTGGGGAAAAATTGTGATTGAAAACCCCTTCCACCTGAAGTCTGTGGATAGTTAATACAATGTTAAGCAAAAATCTGCACACCAGTCAAGCCATAAGGCTTGCTTTTCCCACAGAAATCCCAAATCTGCAGTGATGTTACAACTGCAAAGGATTCTGGGTGGGCATATGCATATTAGTTTAACAAAGAATCACATTTTTGCCTCATTCCATTTTAAACATGGATTCCTTTTAATCTGTGTTTGCAGAGATAGATAGATAGATAGATAGATAGATAGATAGATAGATAGATAGATAGATAGATAGATTATGAAAATAAGGTGCACTCACAGGTCTTCAAATGCACTTATTTTTATTTTACATGAAAATTTACATGTGCAAAAAAATCTACAATGTAGATTTTTTTGCACATGTAAAATAAAAATGAGCACATTTGAAGACCTGTGAGTGCACCTTATTTTCATATTTTTTGTATGTATAACGCCAAGGTTTGCACCCAGGCAATATTCATCTGATATTCTTAGTAAAGGGTGAGTGCCAAGTTCTACTTATATATATATATATATATATATATATATATATATATATATATATATATATATATATATATATATATATATATATATATTAACAAAAAATGATGGCTGCACTCCTCGGTCTTCTTATATAAAATCCAAATTGCTTTATTAGATATACATTAAAAATGATCAACGTTTCAGCCCCATGTTGCGCTTTCCTCAGGATAAGAAAAAAAACAAACTAGTATAACACAAACAATAATATAGCTTATATGCCATAAGAGGAAATTAATTAACTCACCACAGCTGATGTGACTGCTCGCTCGGCGTCCTGCCGATCGCTGTGCGCATATTATATTTGAATTGACAGCTGGCTCATGCCCCCGGCATTACCAAGGATAATGTGAGTGCAAGGAACCCTTTTGATTATATATATATATATATATATATAGTTAATACAATGTTAAAACAAAAATCTGCACACCAGTCAAGTCATAAGACTTGCTTTCCCACCCCGGTAGTAACATCACTGCAGATTTCGGATTTCTGTGGGAAAAGCAAGTCTTATGGCTTGACTGGTGTGCAGATTTTTGTTTAACATTGTATTAACTATACACAGACTTCAGGTGGAAGGGGTTTTCAATCACCATTTTTTCCCCACCATAACCTATTTATAGGTTATGATGGGGAAGGATCAATACACGATGAATTGATCCTGATGAAAGCCACGGATGTTTGCTGGAAAAAAAAGACTGTGAGTGCAAGACTTTCACTATCTATATATTCTAATTTATGGCATTGGCCGGAAATTGCACCCGGCATTTTAGAAATTTATAGTGTGTGTGTGTGCAAGGACAAAGAGAGACATATATATATATATATATATATATATATAATCTTATTCTAACTGTATTTTGAAATGCTTAGAATGAAATTATATATATATATATATATATATTTTATAATGTGTATATCCCCTTAACAACCGTGGATGTACTATATATATATATATATATATATATATATATATATATATATATATATATATATATATATATATATATATATATATATATAAATAATTTTTATAATTATATATATCTTTTTTATTATATACATAATCTTATTCTAACTGTATTTCCTGCAGCAGCTCCAGCCACCCCAGCCCTCCAGGGCCATGTGATCACCATGATCACATCGCCACAATAGGAGTCTAGGAGCTGCCTGCAGGGGGACTGTCAGACAGTCCCCCATGGCTGCTAAAAAGTAAAAAAAACTTATATATTAAAAAAAAAAATATATATATATATATATATATATATATATATATATATATATATATAAAAATACAATACAAAAAAAATGAAATTTCCCCCGCACTCACGCTTAGTAGTATCCAATAATGCCAGGTGCCATAGCCTGGACTCCAAAAGTACAGTGTGCCAAAGGATAGCTGCTCACCGGTCTTTAAAATTCCAATATTTCATTTTGTTCAAGTTAAAATCAGAGACCCTTGGTCTCTGATTTTAACTTGAACAAAATTAAATATTGGAATTTAAAGACCGGTGAGCAGCTATCCTTTGGCACTAATATATATATATATATATATTCTAAAATAATTAAAACATTTTATAATATATTATACATATATAATGCGTACATATGATTTCATAAATGTACTTTGAGATATATACACATATATCTCAAAATACACTTATAATAAAATCATATATATGCATTATATATGTATAATATATTATACAATGCTTTAATTCTAATATATTATACATATATAGGAAATAAAAGTTTGTGTATGTGTGTGTGTGTGTATATATAAACACACACACACACACTCATACCTATTATATACCCACGTATTATATGTGTGTGTGTATGTGTGTATATATATATATATATATATATATACACATATATACACACACATACACACACACACACATACAAACATATTATATGTATGTGCATATATAAATTTACATAAACATTTATTTTTAAAAAAAAATGTTTGTGACTAAGTGGCTACTACAAAAGACTGGAAATACCCCATTTGGAATACCCTGGGTTGTCTACATTTGAAAATGGTATGCCATGGTTATTTCACATTCGTGGTCTACCATATGGTCTCAAAAGGCAACATAGACCCAACAAACCAATCCAGCAAATTTCAGTGTGCAAACATGGAAAAGGGGAAAACCCCACATTTGACCCCTGTAAGTTTGCAAAAACCCATAAAACCTGTACACTGGAGGTACTGTTGTAGTCAGGAGATGTTGCTGAACACATATTGGCGTGTTCTTTGTCAGTAACACATAGCAGGAACTAAGAATCCATGCCTAAAGTACAATGTGAGAGAAAAATAACACAAAAAATGACTAACCAAAAGTTTGACAAAAACTGCTGGTAGAATTAGTGCATGGAAAGTGTAAACATACCACCATTTGAAATACCCTAGGGTGTCTACTTTTCAAAAATATATAGTTTGATGAGGGTAAATTACATTGGCCGGCATCAAAAATGTTTCATATAGGACATGGGTGCATGATGACCAGCTGAGAAAATTCCAAGTTTCATAGTTACATAGTTACATAGCTGAAAAGAGACTTGCGTCCATCAAGTTCAGCCTTCCTCACATATGTTTTTGCTGTTGATCCAAAAGAAGGCAAAAAAACTCAGTCTGAAGCGCTTCCAATTTTGCAACAAACTAGGAAAAAATTCCTTCTTGACCCCAAAATAGCAGTCAGATGTCTCCTTGGATCCAGCAGCTATTACCCCACTAATTAGAAATTATATCCCTGTATGTTATGTTTTTGCAAGTATTTTCCAATTGCAGTTTAAACATCTGTATAGACTATGACAAAACCACCTCTTCAGGCGAAGCATTCCATATCCTTATTGCTCTTACTGTAAAGAAATCTTTCTTCCAGCCTAAATGTGTGACCTTGGAAAACTTGAATGTGCACCCTCTAAATAAGGACTTTAAGCCCCCAGACAACCCGACACACCTATACATGGGGGAGTATCACTGTACTCAGGAGATGTTGCTGAACACATATTGGGGTGTTCTTTAGCAGTAACCCTCAAAGTTCTCTTTACATGTATTCTTAAATTGCTATGTGTGTCAAAAAAATCACCAATTATATTTTTTTTTACATTTGGTATAGGTTGGTGGTAAAATGGTTGTATGAAAAGTCAAAATACCCCAAGTTTAATACCTTAGGCTTTTAAAAATATATGTATGTGAAGGGTTATTCAAGGATTCCTGACAGATATCAGTGGTACAATGTAACACTGTAATGTAATGGTTTGGAAATCGCAAAGTGCTACTTGTACTTATAGCCCTATAACTTTCCAAAAAAAACAGCCTAAGAAAATGTTAACATTGGGCAGTTCTAAACTCAGGACAAAATTTAGAAACTATTTAGCATGGGTATTTTTTGGCGGTTGTAGATGTGTAACAGATTGTTGTTGTCAAATTTCGAAAAAGGGCATTTTTTTTTTTTACACTGTTCCATCATATTTTATAAAATAAATTATAGTAAATTACATGATATGATGAAAATAATGTTATCTTTAGAAAGACCATTTAGGTACAGTAAATGTGTAAAAGGAAAATTACACTTAAACACAAACACTGCAGAAATCTAAAAAGAGCCCTGGTCCTTAATGGTAAGAAAACTGAAAAACAGTCTGGTCACTAAGGGGTTAAAAGAGACTATAGACACAGATTGTTGATCGAGATTATTATTTTCACAACTGTCTTTTTAACCTGAAAGGGGAAATAAAAAACAGGGTGAGAAAATAAGTCATAGTCTTTGTTGTAACCACCCTATACCATTTAATTTTTTTAGATGTATGTACCAGCAATTACTATTATTATTATTATTATTATTATTTCATGATGCATTTATCAATGTACAGGAATGCATATTTTCTGTTGATTAATATTCTTTAAAAGAAGAAAAACTTTAAAAATCTGGTTTATCTCAAACTTTGAGTCCCAATAGGGAAAGAAACATTGATCATGCTACAACACACTATTTAATAGCATATCACTGTGTCAGATAACATTTGATGTTTTTCTGTTTTTTTCTTTTTTACGTATTACCACATTTGAAACTTGATTCCTGTTTGTCTTTCTGTTAATTATTCAGTTATGCCACTACTTGTCTTTTTGTAGATATGTTATTTATATAGATATTTATGACTGTATGATATAATAAGTCATAAGTGTAAAATGTAATGGGACATTTTCCAACAGATTTAATACAATACAATCATTTATGCTTTTAAGTGAAAAGATGTTTAATGTTTAAATGCTCCTGTGCATCAAACTTGTCTTGTTACAAATACTGGTAGTCTACAAATGGAACAGCACTGCAGCATTTGTTATTTGTATTACTTATAAAGCACCAATAACAAAGATAAGAATAATTCATATTTTTAACCCCTTAAATACTGAGCCAAATGTACAAGTTTTGATCAAAATACAACGTAAACAAAACTTGGAATTTAACTCTGTCTGTTCAACCATAATTCACCTCTTAAATATTAAATGCACGCACACTTATTATGTATCATTTTATTCAGGAGAAATAGGGCTTTCATTTAACATCAAATATTTGGGTATGAATCATAATTTAATATGAATAAAATATAAAAGAATGTGAGAAATTAAGAAATGTTGTTATTGGTTTTAGTCCCGCAGGACATTTTAACTGTGAATGTTATAATACTGTTTGCTTTTACAGCAATAAAATACACATATTTGTATTCAGCTATGGCTCACATGTAAAACAGTACCCTCTATGTACAGGTTTTATTATGTTTTGGAAAGTTACAGGGTCAAATATAGCATGTTACATTTTTAATTTTTTTCACATTGAAATTCTCCAGATTGGTTAAGTTGCCTTTGAGACCGTATGGTAGCCCAAGAATGAGAATTACCCCCATGATGACATACCATTTGCAAAAGAAGACAACCCAAGGTATTGCAAATGGGGTATGTCCAGTCTTTTTTAGTAGCCACTTAGTTACAAACACTGGCCAAAGATAGCGTTAATATTTGCTTGTGTGTGAAAGATGCAAAAAACTAATTAATATTAAAATACACTTAGACAGTGTATGTGTATGTATGTGTAAATATATATATATATATATATATATATATATATATATATATATATATATATATATAATTTTAAACAGTTTTAAAACTTAAGTTAACTTTTATTTCAGGCAGCAGGGGGACTACCTGTTATTCCAGGCACTCCCCCTGCTGGCACTGCTATGGACGGCTATTTCGTCCATGTGATCGTGAGGTCCTCGCAATCACATAGCTTAAAAGGGCTGGATCAGCAGCAGGGGGACTCCCTGGGATGCCTGGTAAGTCCCCTCATCGCAATCGCAGGCGGTGGATCGCCAGTGAGCAGGTAAGTCCCCTGGGCGATGTGGACATGCTATGTCACCCACCGGCATTTAAGGGGTTAAAAGCAGTACTTCTAAACCAAAATTGATCCATGCCAATAATGATCTGGCTGATAAAACATAAATCAGTTGACAGTCGGCACATATCTAAGAGAGCAAACTTTATAAAAGAAAAAAAAGAAAGAAAAAAATTATAATAAAAATACTACCTGTAAGTCTTAAGTCTTTCCTGTAGAGCTCATAAACATTGTTGGCAATGTCTAATTATTCATACAATGTAAGGTGGAGTGTCTTCTGGTTACAGATAAATTCAGGTAAATTCTAAAAGTAGAACAGATAATAACACTTGATAGTGCAATATTGTCTGAATAGTGAATATAGTGAAGATAAAATATATAGTAACACACTCACAAAATTAGAGCCTGTAATACAAGGCTCAATTTTCCAGCGCTGTGGGATTAAGGATCACCACTTCCTTCTTTTAGCTTGCCAGGGGATGGAAAAAATCCAATGTCCTCTCACATATCGGTATAAAATGGTAAAAGTGCTTTAATAGTAAAGTGCACAAATAGAAATAAAAAACAAGACCTTACAGTTTAAGGTAATCTTGTTAGAGTAGTCTCTAGCTGCAATACGCAACTGAGGAAGCCTCCAGACGAGGCGAAACGCGTATTGCAGCTAGAGATCTGTAACCAGAAGACACTCCACCTTACATTGTATGTATATCTAAATTTTATGTGAGGGTGAAGGGTACTCACTAAGGTGTTTTGAGTATCTTTTTGGATTACTCTTTTATGTACGTGTCTCACTGGAAAATACTGTATTTACTGTATTTAATGTCTAATTATTGGCAAACTTTTCCATTCATACCTGAAGGATGTATTTCAGAGGTAGGAACTTCCTCTCTTTCTTGTTTTGGAAATTGCAACAAATGTTGCATAAAATAATATAGTGCGCTTGAGTTGGAAAAGGGAGGGAGAATTAAAAAAAAAAATAACTGTGTAACAGAGGAAGGCATGAGGGAGCACATATTGGGTGGGAGGGAGGGAGAAAGGGAGAAGACAATCATGTTTGTTGCCAGCATGCTGTACGCACTGATCACAGATGCAAACTATGCACAGAATTGACATTGGCAGCCAGGAATAGATTTCTAGGCTGCTAATATCACATATGCTTGGGAGCAACTATCCACTTTGCACATAATTAAGACTATATCAGCACAGGTAATATTTCAAGTTAAAACACTACACATACATACTTCTACCACCATGACCACTTGAAATTACTACGTTGAGGTAACCTTCAACTGATAGAAGAGAACATGAATGCATGTTGTATTATTCTATATTAAAAGTTGGCAAACTGTGTTAATATACTCTCAACGGAATTGACATTCTAATTTTGTTTTTGTTTTTTTAATTAACAAGGAAATGATTAATTTAATTAAGTGGGAATAGGCTTTTTGCTTATATGCTGATATGAATGATACATGTATTCTTGTTGGCTTAGTG